GGCTGTGCATCTGAAAACCCAATGTTATTTAGATCTAAAACTGACAAATCTGTGTCCTGCTCTTTTTCCAAGTGTACACCAGGAACAGCTGTTTACTTTCATTGACATGTCTGTACTCCAACTCAGGACATCATCAGTTTACTCTTTATATCAATTGTAATACCTTCTTGGTAGAAGAGGAAGCTTTCCCAGCCAATTTAGGACATTTAGCGAATCCATGGCCTTTACCCACCCATGGTATGCTATCCTTATCCAGTTGTGACAAAAATAAATAAATACATAATTAAATAAATGCAACCTAGTAATTGCCTAATATCCTCTGGGGATCTTAATCTCCAAAATAATTGGGACCTATTCCTATCAACTGATGTTCAGGTTATCACCATAAATTGTAACAAGCTCCATCTTTCCCAGTACTTTTTCCTCATCATTCCAAAACCCTTTCTGGCTGATTCAGTTGATCAAGAATTACATTACACATTTTCTCTGCCCAATTCAAATGCTCTTCTTTTCTTCCTCTTCCACTTCATACATTAATTCATAGATAGTCTTCTATAACAGGAAAGCATTTTATGATTAGTTTCATGGAGTCCTGTGACCACTGCATTTTACTAACATTTCTCTTCCAGCCATTCTTCACAATGTTGCTTTCTCTGCATATAGCTGAGGCTGGTACTTTTCAGGGCTCTAGACTCAGTTCTCACTTTGACGTGATTGATACTCTTATACCATGAGACTATGTACATTTCATCTGATGACAATGACCTTCACCACCGATATTCCATATCTCCAGCTCCATAAGGAGCTGTCTCCTGAACATTGACATAGTTTTACCGAGTAATAACAAAACATTCCAGAAGAACTTATAGACAGAGTCAATAAGTCTAAAAGCATTCGTTGACTTCTCTGACTGAATTCTTCTTCTGGTTCCTTTTCTTAATAAATTTTTTTGTGATGTACCTACATAATCAAATGTCACGTTAAAATCACTCACACTTGTTATGTAAACAGCCTTCAGCTGTGCCCTTTCTTCTCCTCTCCTATGCTCCAACCTAGCCCATTCTGTTGGGTGTCTGGTCTCCTTGTCTCCAGTCTATTTTCATCTAGTTTCATCTTTCCTTTTCCTTTAAAACTCTAGCTGACTCATTTACATTTGATAGCTTCCTGTTGACAATTTCCCAAACTCTGCAATGTCTACATAAAAACAACTACAGACGGAACACCCCTAGCATTCTAGCCTCCTTTATCTGTGTGCATCTAGCTTTCCAACCGCAGCCCACTCATCATTTAAGGACATAATCAAGTTCCAGTCAGAAAATAAGCTATTCTAGGTATTTCAACAGAAAAACACTATCAAAGGAAATAGGATAATAGGTGTCTGAGGACAGATATGAATATAGGGCACCAAAATAACTCTTGGACAATAACTGCTTATATAGGTGGTGGCTAATACTCAGGGATTGAGAAATTACAAGAATGAAGGAGGATTTCTTGAAATTAATAGTATTGATGTAAGACTTCATGTACCTTATAACTGTATCTCTGAGGAGGGAAGATGTCTGGCTACCTCTGTAGTAGTCCCTTGGAGATACACTAGCAGGATGGTACAGGAGTCTCCAAGGCTCAGTGAGAAGCTGGTTATGAGTAAATATTAGCAAGGGAATAAGGATAAGATGGATAAGATTTGGATAAATGTCAAGGCTTAAATGAAGGACCCTTGCTATGCAGTACTGTTAAGGCAAGCATTTAAGTGGGAAAAGGGAAATATCTTCACATACACCCGTCTTCCCTCTTTGTTCCCTCTAGGGTCAATTGTTGGTGAAATCCAGCAGGAAGCATGTAGAGTTGTTTTTGTTTGGTTGTTTTGTTTTGTTGTTGTTGTTGTTGTTGTTTTATATTGCAACATCAGAGAAGAAGATCAGTGTTCAAAGATAACTTCTTAATAACCTACATGGCCCGTTTGCATCTCTTTGCTTTAACCCATACAATTTTCCTGTCTACGATACTCTTTAACCATAGGCCTTATGTGCACCTTTGTTCAAATACAACCCCTTTTCTATAATTTTTCCTATTCTCTAAAACATAGACACCATCAATTGTGTTTGCCTGACACTTTGCACATACCAATTTTGTGCTCTGTTTTATACTTTGTCTGAATATCTCTGATTATGTTTGTCGATTTTCCACCAAATTGTGAGCTTCTTTATAGCAGTTAGAGTGATGACCACAAAACATAGCCAGATGCTTGGCAAGGACAATTGGCTGAGTGGATAAAACTAATAAGGATATTTTAAGGAAAGCATATCTAGATCACTTCCGGAATGTATTTCATCTCTGTAAGTAAATTAGAACTCTATGGAAACAGAGACCATGCTTTGTAGTTGTTTTATTATCTTGGTGGTGTCTAGTACAAGGTTTTCCATGATGAAGAAAGAGCTCACTGATACTTAACCATCTAGTTTGTTCATTAACCAACAGAATTTTGGTACTAAATGACATGAAGATGGAACATGAGGTTATAAATATCAGGTAAGAACTCTAGTTAGACTTAAATATATTTCTAGCATGTGATTTCAGGCATTAGATGGTACAGTGTGTCCGGTAAAAATCTGTACTTGTTGAATTTTAAAAGGATGGGCACCATCAAGAACCCAAATGTAATGTGCTTTGTAGTGAATTTTAAACTAATAAAATATATGCTAGTTTCCATTTTTTCCTGTTTATATATTATCTAAGATATATTCCCCAGTCCATGAGATGATTAATCCCGGGCTACATCTGTTCCTTGTGTATTTATTAAATTCTCACAACCATCCAAATCAACTAGCAGATTATTTACATGTAGAGAAGGTATTGAATTTTAACTTAATCACTGGCTTCTCAGAAAAAAAAGAAACCTCTGCTCAACAGCTGCTTTATATTCAAGTCCAAGAGGAAGAAAAATAGCTTTGAAAAAAAGAGGGGAGTGATATTTAATTAACTATTGATTTCTTCTCAATTATTCAAGGCAAGCAATTATCGATATTGATGAAACAGATATTTCCCTATGTCTAGTGCCCAAATGAAAGGAAATATCCCATTCTGCAATCTGCTGTCTAGATCGAGAAACGCTCAGAATCTTTAACTTTAAATGGAAATGGTTACTTGGATCTGTTTATTCCACGTTGCCCCAATTAAACAGATATTTCTTGAAGTGTAAGCAAAACAAAACCTATGTTCACTTTCCAAATGGACAAAAACCAAAACAGAACAAGAGCCACCAAGATTTTACCCTAGGACCCTGTGCTTGGGGGACATTGCTTTATAGCTACAGATGCACACACACACACACACACACACACACACACACACAAGATGACTGACAAACTACCATAATTTGGATTCAATCTAAACCACCCACTGAGAAGCAGCTTGTATGCTTGATGCCTCTAATCCATGTGACACTGCCTTGTGTATCAGCATTTCAAACATGAACGATTAGTGCTAATTATACCAATGTATTATGCACCTGTCTTCTACGTCTCCCTGGAATGTTGAGGAATGTAGTCACACTGGACTCTGTTTAGGGAACTTTATTATTAGCTCTAAGGATGCCCAGTGCCACCTTCCCTCAACCATTCACACACGGGAGCATCCTATGTTTGTGAGTGTGGACAAAGTCCCTCTTCAAGGTGACATGAGTATTGAACATGATTAATAGGCAAAGCAAATGCTATCTATAGTTATTACATGGAAGGTGGGATGATTTTGTAACAATGATTTGTATTTAATAGTACCATTGTGTGTGTGTGTGTGTGTGTGTGTGTCTATGCATGTGTGTGTGTGTGTGAATCCATGTATCATCTTTGGAGAAATTGGACCATGAAATTTTTTTTGAATGAAAAACTGTTATAATTTATAAAAAGCTCCTTTTTCTGCTCTGTACCCCGCCTGCCCCCTGTCCAGAGTGGTCTATGTGTTAAGTGCTTAAGCAGCAAATGTTGTTGGAAAGCGTTCGTTCGTTCTTGGCTCTCTTATTCTTTGTTGCTGTGTTAATTTCCCTCGATTCTATTTAACATTCTGCTAAATCAGTGAAACCTTGATTATCTAAGAGAATACAAGACATTGAATTAATGAGGATAACAGGAATTTTGAAGATATGAGAAATTATTAGAGGTGAAAGTTCTGTGGCAGAGGCTGTGAATGAATTTCAGTCAGGAACCGCTCCTTGATTTTCCAACCTGATCCTATTCCTTGATGGATGTAATGAAATTTTGGTAATCAGGGTTTCACCGTTGCATTTATTACTGTTCCCAAATCAAGGTAACCTTGGGCTCTACTCCCCATATTTACAAGGTAGTAAAAAAACTCTGATGGGCTGTCAGGGACAAATGTGACTGCTCTTCCTCACATGCCTCCCACGAAACAAGCTTTTCCTCTTCCCATCTGGCTGTTGCCTGCCTCGAGCATGCTACTTTTTTCACATCCTAAACCTGCATTTCCCTGCTTCCCTGTGGCCTCTTTGCATGCACAGAAAAAGACTGGAATCGGTTCAGGGACAGGACGATGGATGGATGTCCTGACCTTAGAGGTTGTTGGTCATTTTAGTAACACCGCTTTGCATTTTAAACGGCACTCATCTGGCTTCAAGGTTCTGCTTTCTTGTATCAGGCACTTGTCCTAGGAGGTCACGAGAGGTCTCACATACAGAAGAATTTCCAAACCAGGAGTGTTACATTACCTTAGAATCGATAGCCTGAGCTGGAAAATATCCAAGATTGCAGGGAAAAGGGGGTGGGAGGGGGACCTATATGAAAAGGCCTAAAATGATCAAAACAAAGGCAGCCTACACATTTGTTTGGAAATTGGAGTCACATGCTTAGTTTGTGGAGGGAAAGGGGGAGCACAAGATCGATAGAGAATTTCTTTTTTTTTTTTAAGCTGAAAACATGATGTTCCAGATGAACTTAAATTGATTCTGCTTCTCCTCCCCCCTCCCCTCCCCTCCCCTCGTTCTGCAGCTAATGTCTGTGACAATGAGCTCCTGCACTGCCAGAATGGAGGGACCTGCCAGAACAATGTGCGCTGCGCGTGCCCAGACGCCTACACTGGCATCCTCTGTGAGAAGCTACGGTGCGAAGAGGCAGGCAGCTGTGGCTCCGACTCTGGCCAGGGAGCACCCCCGCGGGGCTCCCCAGCACTGCTGCTGCTGACAGCGCTGCTGGGGACTGCCAGTCCCCTGGTGTTCTAGGGGTCACACCCAGCCCTCCAACAGGCCTGTGCTGTGGGGACGCAAACACAACCCAAGCGATTGCTACTGACATAGAAAACACGCACACCCACTCCAACACAGTGTATAGAAGAAGAGGGCCTAATTGAACTAAGCCATATCTCTCAGAACCGGACAGCACATCGCACATCGGAGTCAGGACTGTTCATCACTGACTCCAGAGGAATTGGCAGCTGTTGCTATTATCACTGCAAATCTCATTGCCAGCTGCAGAGCTGATTGCGGATTGGAAAGGCTGTGAGAGCGCCCCCAAAAGGAAAGACAAAAAACAAACTGATCAACCAACCTAAAAACATTCGCTACTCTACCGTGGTGCACCCTAGTACCGCTCTGCTCAGTGTGTGGGCCAACCAAATAAAAGCACTCTTCGCTGTCAGGTGCATTGTGGGTAATAAGGAAATCTGTTACAAGCTGCCATATTGGCCTGCTTCAGCACCCCCCCCCCCATTCCCTTCCAACCTGTGCTTTAGTGAACGTTGCTCTGTAACCGTTGTTGGTTGAAAGATTTCTTTGTCTGATGTTAGTGATACACATGTGTAACAGCCCCCTCCAAAGCGCAAGCCAGTCATGCCCCTGTATATTTTAGCAGCACTGCGATCCCAGTGCCAGCTCACATCCACTTCACAAGAGTGGCTAGAGGAAAAGAGAAAGTGTATCTATCCTTTTGTATTCAAATGAAGTTATTTTTCTTGAAATAATGTAATATGTAGATTTTTTGTATTATTGCCAATTTATGTTACCAGACAATCTGTTAATGTATCTAATTCGAATCAGCAAAGACTGACATTTGATTTTTGGTCCTCTTTGGTTTTGTTTCGTTTCATCGTGCAGAGATTTCTCTGTAAGGGCAACGAGCGTGCTGGCATCAAAGAATATTGGTTTACATATAGCAAGTGTAATAAGATTCCACCAAAGGACATTTTAAATGTTTTCTTGTTGCTTTAACACTGGAAGATTTAAAGAATAAAAATTCCTGCAGAAATGATATCAGGAAATTGTATGGCCGTTTCTTAAGATGAAAGGAGCAACCACTCAACAGTTTCCCAGTTACGTCACTGGTTTTGTGTGGACTGAACACAGTCAGCTGACAACTTTAGTAACCAGGAAGATGGATTGATGGTCACTAGCTTGGACAACGTCTGCAAAGTATGAGACTATTTTCCACCTGGGAAAAAATTATAACCACAAAAACAGAGAGAAAGAAATATCTAAGTGATTGCCAAGATTATGCCAAAGCCTGTTGGCAGAGCACTAAGAGACTTTTATTTTTAAGTCATGCTATTTTCACAGATTTATGGTGATCATGTGACTCTAGGGATGCCGATCTATGTATCCTTCCAAATACAGTGTTTACATGGAGTATCATAAGAGGCCACCTGGGGAACCAGGACAGCAGCAGGGAAATTGAGTGATTAGCAATTTGACTTTGAATATATTCTAAGTATTTAAATGAAATATCAAAATATACAGCAGCAAGTAGACATAACTGCTGTTCCTGAAAATAAAGTCTGTTTCAAGTACTGCCCAAGGTGTAATAAATTCTTGTTTCTGCCTTTTATTAGGCCAATTACTGTACAAGACAGCAGAGGGAGCGGGGCTGGGGGAGAAACACTTTGAAGGTTTGGAGGGGCTGAAACAGTGTATGTTCAATCCCAGCAAACTGCCACCCTGCAGGTGACAAATGTGTCAGCAACGGCAGGCATCTCTTGGAATCAGAAATAATTATGAGACCAAACCAGAAGATTAAAGACAATGAAGTCCTACATGACTTGGTGGGACAATAACCTATGACAGTATTAGGTCAGAAGCCTCGTTCCAGGCTGAATTCTTCACCCTACTGCCAGTCTCAGCTGAACCAGGGGGGAGGAATGTCTTCTGATAAATAACCCGAGTCAAAACTAGATGAAGGAACAGCATGTCTTATTGGTTTTGTTCCCAGAAAAGCCAATTCAAAGAAGGCAATAAAAGGTAAGCAGGTAATTCCTGCTCTGCCTGCCACCCCACATCCAAGACTATTGAATGTTTGTTATTCAAACCAACAGCCTCTTTTGATATAAGAAATAGGGAAAGATGGAAATAAATTAGCGCTTTGGCTGAGTGCCAGAGTGGCCAACCAGAAATGGCAGATTTACATTAGAAGCATAAATAGGAAATTATATTCCCGGCTCACCAAAGAATACACATGAAAATTCTGATAGCAGGCAGAGTGTGAGATTACTTCTAATGAGGTGGATTTCTGATATTAAAAATGGAGTTTAAGTTGTCTTATAGTTTATTAGCACAAACCAAAGGCAGACTGTGTTATTTCTGGCAATGGTGCACTTTATCGTTACCCAGTCACAGCTTTGTCACAACGATCAGGAATCAGACGCTGCACAATTCAATACGTGGGATTCCAAAAGCTAATTCTGAAATTTAATGAAAGCCTGATTTAAATCAACTCATCTGCATTTTATCTTTATGAGGCTATAAGAATCTAAATTGATGAGGAATATCTTGCATTCAGTGTATTTAGATATAGTTCTCTGAATTTCTTGAAGTGATGTGATCTGCTTTTAATAAAAATTCACTTTTAGGTATATAACAAACGTAAATGAAATGTTCTTTTTAATCTGGTTCTTTAAAAAGTTGATTCATTTTTTGAAAAAATGTCAGCCTACAGGATTTTCTCTGCTGCTTTCTAGAATTCTTTGAATCTGTAATATTCTGTCTTGAGACAGGACTGAGGCAAATAGGGTATATACTAAGTTGTACTCACATTTGAGGCTGGAAGGTTCTCTAATGTGAGCAATACAGCTATCCCATGTCATCAGTCCACAGTCAACTGCCCTACAAAGGAGGAGCATCATTCTTCCCACAATTGATGTGTATAAAACCCAGAAAGGAGCTGTATGGGGGGTGGGGAGTTAAAATGTCAGCTATCTAGAAAGTTTTGCTATTGACAGGGAGTTAAGAAATCTACCTTGCCTACTATAAAGGAGCAATGACTGAACACACAGCTTAAGGGCAAATATTGGAAGTGCCACCTTTACCCTTTGCCCAGCTATCCAGTCTAATTAGATGTCCCCACAGAACAGTGACCTCCTGTAGGCAGAGAGCACAAAGGCAACCCTCCAGCACATGGATGGAAGAAGACTTAGATTCCATAGTTCAGTGGTTTCTATTGTGTCCTACCCACCCTTTCCTGGACCTGTGACTTTACTGGAGTCTAGGAAGCTTTAGGTGGAAACCCTGAAATCAAATCTTTACTTCCATCTTCTTCACCCTCTACCATCAATAGTCTAATAATATAGGAATATTAAAAACCCGATAGTCTGAAATGGAATGTTCTTTACCCTGGGAAATGGTCTGCTGTATTTTACCTAGTGTTTATTTCTAAGTCAAATATCAGTGGCATTTTCTGTGCTCATAGGATTGAACAGGACACTAGGGAGCTTGGGGTTATATGGTACATTCATAACATATGTAACTGTATAAATGCACTTAGCATCCAGTATAATTTAAAATTTTTACCTTCAGAAATGTGAATGAGTTATTTTCCTACCACTTTGATTCCCAGCCTTTATTGAAAAGGAGGGTGTGATATCTACTTATCCACAAGTTGGGACAACCTGAGGTTAAAAAAGGAAAGCATTTTTTAAAGGAAACCCAACTGGAGTGTTTATTATATATAAAAATTTTTAAAAGAAAGGTATCCCTGAGATTTTAACACAAAATCTAATTATAAACAATCTACCTGGAGTCTAATAGTTTGTCCTAGGAAATCAATAATGGTTTCTAGTCAGTGTTATTTATTTATTTGTTTGTTTGTTTGTTTGTTTGTTTCTTATGCATGGATGTTTTGCATGGATGTGCCTGTGTGCAACATGCACTCTTGTTCCCTGGAGGTCAGAAGAAGGAGTCAGATGCCCTGGAATTAGAGTGGTTATGAGCTGACATGTGAGTATTGAAAACAGAACCCAGGTCCTCTGCTGGAGTGTCTGCTGCACCTAACCACTGAGCCACCTCTCCAGCCTCTCAGTGTTATTTTTAAGAAACATGAAACCTTCCTTTGATACAAACAATGTGAAAGTTCTGCGTCTTTTCATTTAAAGTGTTTTTTAATTTAAACTTTATTTTTACTTTCTTACATTAAAAGTAGCTTATTTTTTTCCTTCAGTTACCTAAAATGGATGCCAACAAACTCCTCACATAAACTGCACATAAACACAAGATGATGTCAGGAAAAAAAAAAAAAGCATGCCAACTTTCATAATTTGAATTTTCCCCAAACAGTCTCCGGAACACAGAGAACGTCTGCGCTTCTCAACACCTGGTGCGGTGTGACTCACAGATGACAGTCTTCATTCGGCTTCCGGAGAACCAAAGGGGAAAAAAAATACAAGCATGCCCTCTGCATAAACCCCACTAGTGCATTTAACTAGAAATTGGAAAGTAACATCTGTGAAAAGCAAGTTAATATTGACTAATATACAGTTACTTAAGTTCTAATACAGAAGAAAAATGGCGCCCATAATACACATTTAGAGTGCATTCTGAAATAATTCTACAAGAAGAGATCAACAAATTTGAAGGGCATTTTAAAGCACTGGAACCTTTAGTAACTGCTGGAATCCCACACCCCTCAGCCTTCTCTGGTCATCCCAAAGCCTCTGTTAATTGATTGATGAGTTAAAATGGAGTTGTAACATTTAAAATTATATCTTTTTTTTTTTTTTACCTAAACTGCTGCCTGAAAAATGGGTCATTATTCTACAAAACCTAATTATATTAGCACTAAACACTTAGCCAGACTAGCCCAGGCAAACTGCAGAGGATCAGAGGTAAAAATAACTCTCATTTTCTTAACTTAGTCCCATTTTTTTCCAGAGGTGTCATTTTAATATTATTTAATTAGAATTACAAATTTCCATGTTGGGAAGAATAAAACTAACTGGAAAGAAAAAGAAGTAATTATTACATTTCTTACCACTATGGGACTAGAAATGGAAATTCCTGCTTAGCACGAATGTGTCAAGAACCTTAAAAACATCATATGCCAAAGGTTTCCCTGATGCCATGCTGATAGTACCATGGTAGAGCATGTCTGTTACACAGGTGTGTATCCGACTTGATTAAAAGAAAGTGACAGAAAAACACACACCTGAAGTCCTGTTAAGACTAGTGATTTTGTTTTGTTTCCTTGTGTTTGTTTTGTTTCCTTGTGTTTGTTTTGTTTTGTTTTTGACCAAGGTAGGCAACTACATAATGTCATTTTTGTTCGTTTGGATTTGTGCTCCTAGGGAAGGCTGCTCCTTTTGAGGAACTGTCTTCCTTATGCCTAGGAGAAACACTAAAGAAAGCCTCCTCCAAGGAGATAGCACTGTGCCACTTACCCACGGAAGCCCTGAGTAATTGTTTTGGCTTTCTTGGTGTGATAAACACCTAGAGGCAAAGAGATGAGTGTCATCTCCCTCCACTCTGGTTTTTCTCCCTTCGGAAAGGTTTTGGATACAGGGGGTGGCTCCCAATCTAATGTGACAGGTTTATGAAAAACATTTGTCCGTTGATATGTAATTATGAAAACCCCTGCTAAATATTCAGTTTATTAAATTAATAGGGCAACAAATATTGGATCAGTTTACAACCACTTAAGCTCGTGTTTATATCCTGTGTAATTACAATTCATAATTGGGAGAGCAGTCAAATCTGAGTGCATTCTGATCAGTGGTTCTCAGGCTGCTAAGCAGATCAAGCATACCATGACACAGGAAGTGGTTTTTAAAACCCAGAATTCAAATCAAGTCAAGAAGGGTGAGAGAGGAAAGTTAACAGTGAAATTTTTTAAATTGTGAATTAGATTGTATGTAAATACAATGATATTTTTCTGGCCATTAAAAACAGCACAGTCTCTAAACATTACAAGGCTTATAAAAATGTAAATATGTCTGGTATAAGGGCTACAGTTTACCCTAACTTTTAAAGGTATATATCATCAAATTCATTGTTGTCATGGGAGGAATTAATTATATAGGCATACAGATACATGAAAAACTATTGTCCAACAATCAGTTCCATCTCAAGTTACCTTACATCTACCCAATTCCCTTTCATATACATTTGTATTTATTTCTCTAGAATCCAAATATAAATTTAAAAAATGAAAAGAGAATGGCCTAGGTAAGAACTATATAGTATGAGGCCAACTAACCTAAATATCTTGATAGGTTTGGTATATTTTTCATAGGACCATGTAGGGAACATGGTCATTCACAGAATGGGATGTGTTCCAGCAAACAGCCTCCAATACAGCTCTTAGGAGATGCTCTATTTCATTGGTTCTCAACCTCGCTATCTTGACTCCCTTAGGGATGAATGACCCCTTCACCAGGACTGCCTAAGACCATCAGAAAACACAAATATTCATGTTATAATTAATAACAGTAGCAAAATTAAAGTTATGAAGTAGCAACAAAAATAACTATGCTCTATCTGATTAAAAATAACTATGCTCTATCTGATTAAACTTGGTCATAAAATCTTCATACCACTTGTCTTAGTTTATTTTCATGTTACTGTGTGTCTTAGTTAGGATTTTGCTGCTGTGAACAGACACCATAACCAAGGAAACTCTTATAAAGACAACATTTAATTAGGGCTGGCTTATAGGTTCAGAGGTTCAGTCCATTATCATCAAGGCAGGAACATGACACCATCCAGGGAGGCATGGGGCAGGAGGAGCTGAGAGTTCTACATCTTCATCTGAAGGCTGCTAGCAGAATACTGGCTTCCAGGCAGCTAGGATGAAGGTCTTAAAGCCCACACCCACAGTGACACACCTACTCCAACAGGGTCACACCTACCCCACAGTAGTACCACTCCCTGGGCAGACCATATACAAACTATCACACCGTGATAACATAATCCAGCAATTTAAAGGAGAAATATTATTTTGGCTCACAGTTAAATGAAGCCACCAGAGCAGGGAAGCCCTGGTGGCAGAGAATTTAAGGCACAATGTTACATCGTGTCAGGAAGCAGAGAAGAATGAGTGTCCATGCTCAGCTGGGTTTCTCCTTTTATGCAGCCCAGGGTTCAGTCCCAGGGAATGATGCCTCCCTCCCTTAAGGTGGGTTTTCACACCTCGATAGTCCTAATTAAGATAATCTTTTATAGGTATGCCCAGAGGCTAACAATCTAAGTAATCCCTCCCAAGTGTTTCTAGAGGAGTGTTTCCTAGGTGACTCCAGAGTCCATCAGCTTGACAATCCACACTAACCCTCATATCTCTGGTTATGATGAAGTGATAGCAATCAAATTCCTGAGCCAATCCAAATAGAAGCATAATTTGTGTTAAATTCTCACATTAACACACATGGCTTATGTACATTTACAAGCCTCTGTGTTAAGGTCTACCTTTAATTAAAGGCAGACAGTACTCAGATGCAGATGACCAGAGGCACATTCTTAAGGAATGCTAATGTATTATGTAGCTTTAACACCCTCTCTATAGGTCACATTCTATCACTGGAAATGTGACCCGATCATGCTCAAAAACAACTCTGAAATAACACATGTTCAGGTTTGGTTCTCAGGGTT